CCATTGTAAAAGGCCACCAAATTTGTCAGGCATGATTTGGCCTTAGTGAAGCCATGTTGGCTGTCACCAATCACCTCCTCATAGCTCAGAATGCTTAGCTGTTATGTGTGAATTTGTTAATTTACTACCACCTTTTTCACTCAAGAAAACTTAATTTATAAAGCAATATATCAAGTAAATAAAAATTAGAATAACAGAAGATTTTCAATTTATATAAACACAATCATGTTTTTATAGAGGTAAAGGAATTTCATAACTAATTTTTTGTTTACTAGAGATGACAGATGGGGATGAACAGATTTGTACATTTTTCATGTGGTAGCATATTAACTGATAATAATTACACATAGTCTGTGTACAATAAAATTAAAATGTGAAATCTTCCGAAACATAGAATTGTTAACTATTACTAGTAAGATTCTACTAGTCTGGCTCTCCTTAATGTCTTCCCCCTCAACCATACCACTGCTCTTGCGCATAAAAGAATGAACACAACTGCTTCTATCAATTTTATTTCTTTTCTCTAGTGAAGTTCTGGGCCATAATGAAGTAACATTAAAAAGTTTGTAAGAGGTTATCAGAGATCTGAAGCTGGGTCGCTAGCTGCCTTTGTTCTCTTTAATTAAGAAAAAGACATCAATACCTCAATTTTATGACCACACGTTTATAGTTCCTTGAAACTTAAGAAAGTCTATATACATTTTCCTCAGTGATGAGACTGAGCAAAACGTCGTTTGTTAGAAAAGAGAGACAATGCTTCTGAAAACCATGTAACTCGGTGAATGATCCATTTGTCATTTGTTAATTACACCAATGATCAGATGCAATGGAAACAGATTTTGTAATACCAATGAAGCAGGAAAAGCACGCAAAAAGTCAGGGTTACTTGAAAATAATACATGATCTTTAAAGGCCTTCAGAACTGGGACAGTGCATTTGGAAAAGAATGACCATGCTTTCCCTTTTTTCATATTCTCCCATAAGCACCCAAGTCATCCCATTGCTATATCAGCAGTCAAATACTTAGCTAGAACAGATCACTGGTCAGACTCGGTATGTTTTTACTAAAGTTTTAGAATCCTCTTACTCAATGTCTGCTTGAAAGGAACATGAATGCAGCTTTCTTCTGATGGGGTGCCAACCATCAGGCTGCCATAGAAATTTCCCTTCGCTGAAACACAGTAAGTGGAACCTTCAGCAGGAACTGGGATGTTGAGGCTACATTCATATATTGTACAGTTGTCTTCAGTGAACTCTTCTTTACTCTGCAAAAAATGAAAGTCACATTATATCATTTGACTCAATACAACAATATAAATGTTCCAGTATCTTCCAACACTTCCAAAAATGTTAAAACACTATTAGATGTGCCTGCTACATCACCTATATGCCTTGCAAAAGCTGTGTGATCTTCAGCTATCAGCTTATGAGCTACCTTAAGATGGTGTATTTGATCAGACCATGGTGCTTTCAGCTAAAAATACATGCTGTTCGTAGTCTAGATTTGCATTCTTAAGTCACTTATAAAACTTCTACCTAGATGCATATGAAAAAGTAACTGTAAATAAACATACGTACTGTTATTTTCCTCAAGTTCACCCTCCATGATTGCTAAACAAAGTGGTATCAATACCTTGAAAGGTTATCTTGAAAGGTAACCTTAAATGAAAGGTCTATCCAGACAAGTGAAAGGGGCACAAGTAAAGTTACCAATGTTTTAGCATGTATGCAGAAACAATAGCATGGGATCAAGTAACTCCATCTTGTGTACAGCTAATGCAATAATCTCATTTTTGTTACAGGGCGCCCATTTGGACAACTAAAATCCAGACCTGCCAGTCACATATCTCACTGTGACACACTTGACATTTTAGGGCTTCAGTGGTCCTATGTTACATTCAACTGTTTTCTTAGTATCTGTTGGTTCTGTGCGTCACAGGAGTGAACTCCTTGTTTATGCATTTAAGGTAAACAAGTATTTCTAATTTGGACTTTTCGTTTTGGAACTTACCTGATTTTTACTATCCCAAAAAGTCACCACGTACACAGGCTCTGAATAAATCTCTTCCATCCAAGGAACAAGCTCCACAGATGGGAATGCAGGATAGTAAATATCAACCATGATTTTATCACCATGCCTTGAGAGATTCAGTTTTGGTGGTCCTATTTTTCCTGCAACACATTGTACCTTTGCTATTAGGCCAAAGCTTTTAACATAAAATATGCTATTTATAGTTAGCTTTCCAAAATTCATCAGAGATTTGAGAAGAATGACATATTTATTTCAATGCAGTTAATATCGCACAGCTGTGACACTTAAAAGTCACGGAGGCATTTGGATACATTCATGAATCTGCTTCTAAAATGGAAACAGAGATTCTCTGCACAGAATTTCACTGTTAAGCAATTCAACTTTTCCATACACATAAGGCCATAAAAATGCAGCTCACTGACAACAGAAAAAACTTACAAAGCAATTAAACATATAGACGTGAACAAGAACAGAACACAAAATACTGCTGACTAGATCCCACAATAAATCACACTTAGCTAAAAACAATACTGTACTGAAACAAAGGCTATCTGAAAATCTGAACAAATCTCATTGAGAGCAACCGTACTTAGGAAGCCTGATTTCCCATGGCAATGGCCTATGTGAATTTTTGGCATCTAATGATGTGACTAAACATATGAGTTTCTTGTTCAACGGGAAAACCATTTTGTCTGTCTCCTCCATACATGGCTACCGATTTTCTGCAAATTGTCAAACTCGACATTATTACCGTGACTTCTGTCCCTTTGTCAAACACTAGAAACCAGCCACTGATTCCAAGTCATGGGATTATTGGGTGGGGAGGGAATCACAGCAGAAAAAGGACTCCACTTCTTCAGCTGCAGCAATGCAGAAATCCAGCTCTATCTAAAGCATAGTCCAAGTCAGGTAGAATCTCATGGGCCATGTCCTGCTGGAAAGCTGTATGTTGAGAATGAAGCAAGTATAAGAGGAAGTCTCTCAGTCTTTCCTCCCTCTGTTGTGTCTGCTTTGCACTGCCCATCATGCAATGCTGGGGCCTGCCCCACTGTTTTAAACAGGTTGGCCTGGAGTCTAGACACACAATTTACTTTTACATATTGATATGATGTGAAAAACTGTGATTTCTCCTGAAGCAGCCCAGAGGATTTCCATGAAGAATGAGTGTTAGTTATCCAGCTACAGTGGACTCCCATAGCTTATAGATAGTATCTAGACATCCAAAGCTTTCAGTACATGGGATTATAGTGTCGAGCAAGGCATCACCAACCACCTGAATACTATGTCGGTGATGCCTAAAGGTCCACAGCTTCCAGTGGCAGTTTCCTACCCTAAATTGGTGTCTGGGATACCAGGCAAGAATATGGGAAGGATGTACAGAGCGCACCATCAGCATCACTTTCTTGCCTTTAGAATTTTTGAAGAAAATATTTAGATACCACAGTGACAGGGCTAACAAGTTCCTACAGAGACAGAACTACGGAAGCTCCTACTGAACAAGCATCATGCTTCATTTCATCCTGGACTCCTGACTTTACAATATTCCCAAGTGAGACACAATAATACAACAGAAAGGGTAATTACTAACTTTTTTAATTTTGGGGAAAAATTACAAGGTTTAGTTTATGATGGAACTTACCATGCTTTTGCAAAATAAACTCATTGGTCTCAACAGACTCAGACTGTTGTGACCCAACAACAGCTTTCACTCGAAGCCAGTGAGACACAAAAGGGTCACGTATTTCCCTTGAGACATCACAAAAATGAGCTGAAATGTTCACACAAGTTGAGACGATGTTATAGTAACCTAAGCTGTAAAACAAATCAAGTAACAGTTAATACAATTTCAACTGCACAAGATTCTACAATACACTGCCTGTGACAAAACATCTGTGAGGGTGACTGAGCGCTGGCACAGGTTTCTCAGGGAGGTTGTAGAATCTCCATCCCTGGAGATATTCAAAAGCCATCTGGACATGGTCCTGGGCAACCTGCTCTAGGTGATCCTTTTGAGCAGGGTGGTTGGACCAGATAACCTCCAGAGGTCCCCACCAAGCTCAACCGTTCTGTTATTTGACAAATTTTGCCTTAATTTACACTTAGCAACCTTCACCCTACATGACTTCACCACATAGAAACAAAAGAGTTTACCATGGACTGAATGCTTTTATATGCTTGTAGAGAATATCAGGTATGGGAAATGACAAAAGAGTAAGAACTTACTTGTAAGGTTTGATTTCCACAATAAAACGAGGAGTTTCAGACACAGGTGGGTACTGCCAATGCAAGATAGTTTTGAAATTTTCGGATGTTATGGCAATCTGTGTTGGTGAAGGCACTAGAAGAAATAGAACAAGTGCACTTTGATTAACAGACCTAGTAAAAAAAATAAGAACAGCCAAATATGTTTCTAAATTATTTGGAAAAGGCAACATGCTACGTATTACTGGAAAAATTAGACATAAAAATTGCAAATACTTGCACCCAAATGGACTAGTTTGTCACCAGTACGAGCACATGAGCCCTGCAAGCTTATTTATTATTCTTCTCTCCTACAGAGACAGCTTTCTTCCTGTTTGCAACCCAGAACCTCAGATAGCCTATGCCCATTGAAAGCAAGTCCATGAGGTAGCCCGTATCAGGTTATAAGCTGTGATGATTATACTCCTATGTTGGTACTATACAGATATACCAGCAAGACAGATAGTATGAATTTACTGAAGTTCAAGATTAGCCCAGCTCCTGTAGTTTTCTCTTGCTTCTCAGAAACTGAATTGGGGGGGGGG